ACCAAAGAGCTGCTCAGTTAGTCACACAAGCATGTCCTTGCCCTATAGTCTTGACATTTTCTCTTATGCACTGCCTTTTAAGCAGGGCACTGTAGTTCATAACTTACTGAAAAAGGAAACAGAAGACCGTTCTCTCCCTACTTATTTGCCAGTTTCCTTAAATCTGTTCTCCCTTGTTGCCGACAGTCATGCCAAAAGAAGTTGTTTCTCCTTATTTAGTAGTTAATAAAGCATAAATGATCATGGGCTTTCGAAGTAGGCGCACAGAAGAAAAGCAGCGAGTAATGTTAAATTTGTATAGAAATTGGTTCAGCCTCCGTTGAGAGTATTGTGTCAAATTTTGGACACTGCACTTTCTAGAGGATTAAATGACATTTGACTGAGTGCAGAAAAGATCCACACGAATGATTCCAGGGATGAGGAACCTCAGCTACATGGAGAGATTGGAAAATTTGGGGCTATATTCCTTGGAGAAGCAAGGATTAAGAGGAAGTTTGAAAGAGGTATGCAAAATTGTGACGGAGGGGACAGAGTGCATGGGGAGAACCTCTTTCTATTGAATTTGGTTAATTAGCAAAAGAAGCAATGGAAATGTGAAGAAATTTGCAACTAAACCTTTTCACCCATTATCCAGTACTCCCTGACCTATATTGGCAGCTTATCCAGCAACAACTTGAGCTTAAAATTCTTATCCTTATCCCAGCATGAACCTTTCCTATTTATAAAACTTACTCTAGTCCTGCAGCCATCCAAAGATATCCGCTCTCCTCCATTTGTGCCTTTCAGGCATGCCTGATTGTGATAGCAGCACAGTTGGCTATGCCTTCAACTGTCCAGTTCCAAGCTCTAAATTGCCCTCCCTAAACCTCTTCTCTCCTGAGACAATCCTTCAGACCTACTTATTTAACCAAGCCTTTGATCATTTATCCTTGTGTCTTATGAGGCTCAGTCAAATTTTTTGATAATACTCCTGTGAGGCTCTTAAACTTTTCTTTTAACTAAGACACAATGCCAATGTCAGTTGTTGCTCTAATGCACTGTTTACTTTTCACCACTTGATGGCGCTAATGAACGTTGTATAAAGAAACAATGTACAAATTGTATTTGCTCTCTCCCTACATGTTCCCTTGAAAGGATTAAATACTCAGGAGCAAAGCTGCAAAAATGTTTGCATATGGGCTGATTCAGCAATGTTCCGAATTAAATTGGAGTCCAGACACGTGCACCCCCGTATCTCCATTAAATCAAAATTCATACTCTGAAAGCTTTAGCGTCAAAGACTCTGCTTTTCAACTGTGGTTCATTTAACTGCAGATGAACTGGGATGGTAAAGACCTTGTAATTAATTGTTCCCTTGTAGCTTTAAAAGACCGTTTTGAACAGATGCAGTTATACATCGGTCATGCGTTCCAGTGATATGATCTCTGAGGCAGTCCTGTCGCAATCCAAATAGTGCTATCAACACCATGTGCACTGTGATCATTTATTCTGCTTGATTAAAAAGCTGCTGGTCTTTCTATTAGAAGACAAAGACACTAAGAGATAGAAGTAATGTTACAACTATATATTGCTCTGGTTACACTATGCCTGGAATATTCTGTTCAGCCTTGGGAAGGACATTGAGATCTTGGAGAGAGTACAGTGGAGATGTAGCAAAATGTTACCTGGACAGACTAAGATTAAAAGGATAAAAATTTATAGCCAAACATTTCAAGTGATATTCAAAAAGCATTCCTTGCAAAAGGTGGTAGAAGTTTGGAACTGTCTTCCACTTGTGGCAATTTATGTTTGATCAGTTGTCTGTTTTAAATCCACGATTGCCAGATTTGTTAACAGAAGGAAGTTGGAGAATATGGGACAGAGTCCAGAGAAGCTGTGTTGCAGATCACCGTGATCTTTATTGAATGGCGGGATAAGCACCAGTAACTGAGTGAGCTGTTGTTTCAGCATTCCTGTAAGGCTTGTAAAATGACATTGGGGACTTGCCCTTTTGATAGCATAGCTATTTTGTATAACATCCCAGTTTCCTGTTGTGATACAGGACAGCTGGTTAACATTCCCATTGGTGATGGGAGATACTTAACACTCTTGGCCATAAAGAAATGGGGAATCTTTAGCAGAGCAGCTACTTGCAGTTTGTAATCCAGCAGCAAGGGGGTTTGACCACAGGCTGCTGTATCCTGCAAGAGGAAGTAATTACCTTTTCAGAATCCATCTGCATTGTGTATGAGTATCCAGAGAGGGACATCTTGGCAAACAAACCCGATGCAGTCACTGTCAGAGACCTTTATTAGCGCTGTGTTTTCCTATACTGTAGAACGTTGTCTGAAAAGGTGATTTAAAGAAGAGTCAGACAGTGTTAACTTTAATGAAATTTAAGATTAAAAAGAATCTTGAAGCTGGACTATTTGGAGTGCGATTTGGAATCGGGAAAGGGTGGGATCAATGCGATTGCTTGTCAAAAAAAACAGTGAAAGTTGGGTAGCTACCTCCTCGCTGTGCCATCCAATGTAATTAAAAAATAATTATACGCTTTGTATATCTGGGCCTTTTCCCTTAATAAATTGAGTGCGACAAAGTGGAATGTGTTTTTGGAGGATTCTTGTGTTAAAAGTTGTCTTTTTTTGCCCAGTATCGAGGCAGTCTGTGGTTCTGGCCCAGTCAGACCTGGTAAGAATTCCTGTCCAGGGACTGATCAAAGTACCAGGAGTGAATGGGGTCGCCAGCAACTGTAAGCAAGCCAATGGCATCTGCAACAAAATCGCTATCAACAAGTCCGCCACCAAACCAATCGTGCCCGCGCCTACACAGACAGAAACTAATACTTCCGAGATCGACGTGAGTACAATAACTGCTGGAGATTGGATATCATAGAATCGTTGAATCCCTCCAATGTGGAAACAGGCCAATTGACCCAAGAAGTCCGCATCCCACCCAAACCCTTCCCTGTTCCCTTTCCCTGTAATCCTGCATTTCCCATGGCTAATCCACCTAACTTACACACCCCGGACACTACGGGCAATTTAGCATGGCCAGTCCACCTAGCCTGCACATCTTTGGACTATGGGAGGAAACCCATGCAGACTCTAGGAGAATGTGCAAACTCCACACAGACAGTGGCCAGAGGGTGGAATCGAACCCGGGTCCCTGGTGCTGTGACCAATGCTAACCACTGAGCCACTGAAAAATAACTCTTTTAGCTTTAAATTTGATCAATATTATCTGAAAGTGAAATGAATACATTTTAGGAAATTCTGGTGCTGAATTTGGGTGGCATGGAAGCAAAGAAGGTAGGAGCAGGAGGAAGATGTATCTACACTAGGTGAACTGCAGCTTCACCATCTTCAGGATTATTAGAATAAGCAACAAATACTGGCCTTGCCAGTGATACCCACTGTCCACAAAGATTTTTTTCTTTGAAAATGTTGAACCAAAAGTCAGGTGACGAAATTGAGAGAGGGGGTAACTGAAAGAAAAACCAAAAGAACTGTGGATGTTGTAACTCAGAAACCAAAGCAGAAATTTTTGGAAAAGCTCAGCAGGTCTGGGAACATCTGTAGCAAGAAATCAGAATTAACGTTCCAGGTCGTGACCTTTCTCCAGAACTCTGAAAGGGGTCTAAAAAGTCTACAGTGGGATCACAGAGATCTCAGTCTTGATCAAGCAAGGTTCAGATGAATAGCATGAAACTGTTGAGAGAGTAAAGTAGTTAATCACGAGGAACAAAGACAAAAAGATGTGTTAATGGGCTAGATCAAGACATGTTGGAAGAATTTCACACAAAGCATAAATACCAGCGTGAACTTCAATGTAACTCTGTGTAAAACTCCACTTCGTTTAGATCAAGTTGCTAAAGCGCCAGCAGAGAATGATCAAGAATCGTGAGTCAGCCTGCCAGTCCCGCAAAAAAAAGAAAGAATACCTCCAGGGTCTGGAGAGCAAATTGCGCGAGGCACTCAATGAGAATGAGAAGCTGAAAAGGGAGAACTCACTGCTGAAAAAGAAGCTAGACAGCATCATGTCAGAGGTGAGACATGTGATTAGTCGTGTTGCTTTGCACGCGCGTGTGTATATATATAATATGTACATGTCACTGCAGGTACATAGTGCAGTTTTCCATCCAGAAGACGTAAATGAAATCTCGCATTGCATTAATTGAGAAGTCAGCTGTCTCCAATCTCCTGAGTCACTACTTCTCCCAAGCAACACTGGTAGAAAAACCCCGAGAACTGCTCGGTGATCTTATTTGAACACAGCAGGCCAAGCAGCATCATAGGAGCAGAGAGGCTGACGTTTCGGGCCTAGACCCTTCATCAGAAAAGGGGGAGGGGAAGGGGGTTTTGAAATAAATAGGGAGAGAGTGGGAGGCGGATAGAAGAGGGATGGAGGAGAGGATAAGTGGAGAAGAAACAAACAGGTCGAAGAGGCGGGGATGGGGCCAGGAAAGGTGAGTGTAGGTAGGGAG